CACAAAAATATTCTTATAACCCTTATGTACCACTTGAGATCATTTAATATTTAAGTTGCCAGTATAGTGCAATATGATACATATTATATATATTTTTTTTTCTATAAACAGACATGTCTGACAGTATAGAGCTCTAATATGTAAACCAGTGTACCTTTTCACACAGCAAACACAGGACCATGCATCCCATCATGCCTCTGTGGACTTGGTTCCCCACTATGTTGACATCCTTATCATAATCACCAATGCTCTTGACAAGCTCCCGCACTTCGTCCGTGTTCTGCCACTGCTTCTCTGTATTCACGGCAGGATTCATACCGTCGCTGCATTCATGATGCAGAGTGTAGCTGATTTGTCCTTGAACTTTCGTCCTTGTGCATTGTGCGTTTGTGCTGCTGCCGCTGGCGAACCCTTACAACATGTGTTTGTTCCATGTTGCGCTGCAGGAGCCTTCCTCGTAATCCACAGTCAGTCTGAATAGCGAGGTTTATTTTAGGGGGTTTTTGAGCACAAAACAACAAAGTCTGAGTTTCTGTTTTTTTTTTTTTTGTTTGTTGCTACTGATTACAGTCACTCCCAGGGGTCCTGCAGGGCTTTTTAAGGGGCCCCAGCAATCAGGCAAATTGTGAGTGCAATGCTGAACTGTTTTCAGCTGCAGGTCCTCTAATGACCACTAGATGGGCCCTAAAATTCACTGTGTCACTGTGCTGATAAAACTGTGAAATTCATTTTTGAATTACAAAATCAGAAGATTCTATAGTCTCAGTAGCTTATCTTCTTTCCTTAAATTGATTAGTTTGATATTCAGTAAAGTTTTACTGTAATTCTAATAATTCTATATATGCATGGCTTACATAGACAAAAACCACTGTAACTTTGCAATACGCAGTGCAGTTGCAATCAGCCTAGATGCACATTACTCAACAACATGATACATTTAAAGGTCCCATATTTTACACTTTTGTGTTATATTTAAAGTGTTACTCCATAAGAAGATATATTTGTGGTTTTAAGAACCAAAAACCATCTCTATTTAGTTTTACATCTCCTCTCTCAGGCTCTGGAGCTCTAGTAACAAAAGGTCAGTGAGTCAATCAGAAGAGAGGAGGCTCTGAGCCTCTCTTCTGATTAGCTGACTGTTTTCTGAGTGACCAAATAAAAATATAGCAGATTTCCGGTAAATACTCAGAGAAACCCAATCCTGCAAGTTTGGATGGTGGGTCTATGTAGGCGGGGCTTGGGGCATGGCTTAGAGCGGTGACTGCTTTGTTGTGACATCACCAAGTTACAAAAGTCCTGACAGCTGGTTTTAAGGCTCAGTTTCTGAATACAGGCTGTGTGCATTTCTCTGTGGACTGAGCGCTTTGATACTTTCACAGTATTAATATGTATTATGATAGTATTTATAATCAAAAAAAGACATGGAAATCGACCTTTATACAATATGGGACCTTTAAAAGACCATAAACATAAACTAAAAGTCTCAGTCACTTGAGGTTTGGCAGAATTAATTCTTACAAAATGCCCCTAATACTCCCTGACACAATATAGTTGTTCTTCAAAAACCAAGGCTGCTATTAATCGGTTTCCAGCATCAATTCGACAAGGTTAGCTCTGCTGGATCTTGAAATACTTTGTCAATGTGGGAGGAATTGTCAATCAAGGAACGCTGCAGGCACACAAAGATCTTGTAATCATTCTATAATTTATACTGTTGCCATAATTTATCATTGGGTATGAGATGAAATTCAAAGCATTTGCCTGATTATGGCAAAAAACATCAATATTCATGCTCTCAGTAGCTGGCAACAATCACAAGCACTTGTCCCCAGAAAACGCAGCTTCTAGTTAGATTTCTTTGTTTAAAAGATGATATGGCTGAGAGAGATGCACTGTCTGTAAAGCAGCATGTTTGCTTAATTAAGAAGAGTCTCAGCCTATCGCACTGTGTTGATTTCTGCTTGCTCGTCCCACATTTGCCCAACACAAGCTCATCTCTGTGCCGAGTTTCCCTTTAGAATCCTTCACAGATGGTTCGTCAGTGGTTTTTCTCTGTCTGATGGTCCCTAACAAAGGATATGTTTAAATGCTACATGAGAAAACTTCACACTTTGGCACTTTCACTGGGACTTTTTGAAAGTTTAAGGGATTTCACTTGCCAAAAACCATTCAAGGAAACATTAAATTTTGTCTTCTTGTCAGTGGGGGTGGAGGTGTTGAAGACTTTCAGCCAGCGTTAGTGTCTACACTTTTCTCTGGATTGGTTCCTTGCTCACTTGCTGCCATAAAAAGCTCTGAAGTTTCCCTGTAATTTTGATTCATTACTTTCTGGTCACTGAGAACGGTTTTCTGTTAGTGATGACAAAACAGCAGCAGGATCTCCACAGTGTCATGCAGACAAGATGGGAGAGTAAGAAACTGGGGATGCTTTTACATAAAAATGAGAGAAATCAAACATCTCCAGAGCGCTGAAACAAATGACACGTCCTGAACAAACAAAATAATTCCGTCATTGGCAATTTTTTTCTGTTTTCCAGGTAATTTTTTTAAGTCTGACCATGTTTCTGAACAATCATCTTTGATGAAAAAAACTGATTCTGGTGCATCCTCAGCATTTTTTGGATAAAACTATTCAAATTCTGCCTACAAGAGCTGCAGTGTTAATATTTCATCAAAGGAGAGACAGCTCCACTGGAAGAACATCTATCCAGATGTTACACCTTTCTTGGTGTTCATCTTCCACCAATGGTACAAGCTAGAAGTCTTCATAGGTCCGTTGGTCCCCTTTCTTTTGCCATAGGTCTCTGGTCTGTGTATCAATAAGTCTAATACCAATGTGGCCGTCAGCTCTGATCATGTAAATTAGCCTAATTATCCTCAGGTCTGTTTCGGACAGGCTCTGATTGTCATTGCGTCACTTTCGAATCAGGTTCTCTGCAGATCTGTGAGGACTTCTAGTGCAGAGCGACTTTGAGCAGGAAAGGTCGACCAAATGGGCAACAGGTCCTGAAAACTAAACAACAGAATGAATTGATTGTGACTGCCAAAGCAACCCATAATAGCAGTTTGTGTTCTGACACCTTCATTAGCAAGACAAACATTATTTGTCATGGCTTCCAAACCCTTTCCAAATGATGGTTACAAAAGATTAATATTGGAATCTGACACCACTGGGGTTGTGGGTCGGTTTGGCTTTTGGTACAAAACTACTTGATTAAGGTTAAGGAAAGGATTTTTATTTCGTCATTTAAAATATATTTGGATAGGGTTGAAAATTGTGGTTACAGCTAAAGGAAACTGTCCTTAGGAAATGGCATCATCAAAGTTATACAGTTCGTCAACCCATTTGTCTACCCTACCTTCATCTTAATGATGATTTGTAGCTGTGTAAAAGCATCTCTGTAGCTCAACCCTTGCTGCTAACAAACGACAGCCATAATTCACAGATCTACCAGATGTTTTTTGTTGGTGAAACATAAACAACTGGTTTGTTGAGGCATTTGAACAATGATCTGATGCTGTTGTTTTTCTCTGGAGTCTCCAAACGCTGGTTTGTGGTCAGAATCGCCTCTAGATGTACTGTTTATGTAAAACAACTCAGGATCCCCCGCTGTGTTGCTGCTGATGCCTCTCATGTGGATTTTGGATGTCCTGCAGTTTTGGCAACAGTTTGAAGAAGAAGAAAAAAAAAAAAGAACTAGCAAAACCTGACCCTGTGTCAGTGCTGACGGGGATTTTCTTTTCAGGAAGACTCTGCTTGTTGAGATGTAGGATGTGAGTTTCCAGCAAGAAAGCAGCTGCTCTGCTGAAATGCCTTTGAGCAAAGCATCGAATTCCAGCTTCTTTTTTTTTTTTTTTGAACCTCTGCATTGTACATTTCAGTCATCATGAAACAGCGCTAAATGCTTGTGATTAAGCCATCACACCAAACAGGAAGAAAGTTGGATGGATGAAACATGCCGAGACACTGTGACCACAGTGCTAATGACTCACAAGTCTGTCATCTCTCGTGTGAATGTTCATTCCTCATGTACAATATGCAACCATGGATATCCAGTACATGAACATGTGTGTGTGTGTGTGTGTGTGTGTGTGTGTGTGTATGTGTTTGTTTGTGTGTGTCCGTGTTTGCATGTGTGACATCCAGACTCATCTGCACAATGATGGAAGTCACACACTTTTTATTATTTTTTTTTAATCTCAGCAAAATCCTCTCAGCTGTTACATCCACCCCTCTACTCCCCTAACACACACACATACATACACACACGCACAAACACATTTACACACATACACACTCACTAGCTCCACCGTAGACTTTGGAATTCACTGTTGCCATGGCAATGGAATAGAGCACGCTCTCTCGCATCGCCTGTTCTTTTCTATTGCTTTATCTCTCTCTCTCTCTCTCTCTGTGGAGGCAAACCAGCTTCTCTTGTTTGACAGGGGGCTCGTTTTTTTTTTTTTTGTTTTTTTTTTTGCCGTCAGCATCAGTTTTGGATGTTTATTTGTTTGTTTGTTTGTTTTTTCAATAACATATCATCATCTTCATATAGGAAACATTTGTTTGTATGGGAGATGCTTATGTACAGGAGCATCCCCTGGTTTCAAGACTCATGTCACGTTCGTTAATCGAATCCATCCTGACCCCCCCCAACTCTATCTCCTCTTCTCATCTCTTTCCTTTCTCTCCCTCATCTTCTCCTTGTCCTTTCCTACTCTCCCTCTCTTTCTGTCTTTCCTCTCACTCTCTCTCATCTGCTCTTCCCTCCGCCTCTTTCTTCTCTCAGTAGCTAAGATGACTGCCATGACAATTCAATGAGAGGAGAGGACGCCAAGTGAAGTATCCCCCAGCTCGCTGAAAAGGAGAGAAGGAGTGCTCAAGGTAAAGAGAGGAGAGGGAGAAGCAGAAGAAGAAGAGGAGGAGGAGGAGGAGGAGGAAGAAAGAAGGGACAAGAAGAGAGGCAGAGGAGCGAGGGAAGGGTAAGGGGCGAGAGAGCGAGGGATAAACGGTGGATGGAGGCAGCTCGGACCGGGGCTACGGAGCGCTCTTCACCGACGAAGAAGAAGAAGAACAGCAGCAGCAGCGGGGGGGAGAGGAGATGGAGGCGAAAGGCAGAAACATGCCCCCAGGTAACACGCGCACGCACACACACACACACACACACACACACAGACACACACACACACACACACACATACAGGCAGATGTGGATGTGTTCTTGTATACACAAACAACCAGATGCACTTGTGAATTCACATATATTCACATACATGACACATACATGCATGTACATTAAAGCATAAACATTTAAACACACAAACAAGCACGGATGAACACAGTCATACAGGAAACCACCCATAAACACACACACACACACACACACACACAGGAGTGCAGATATGTACAGAGGTCTGGATTCAGAGGGCAACTGGCTTTGATTAATCTGCGTTGGCATTTGTGTAACCAAGCTAAATGTTGTTTCTTATTTAAATCACAGATGACTGAAGGGAGTGTTGACACATGAGGAGTTGAGGAAAATTCAGGGAACATGAATTTAATGAATTGCAATATTGGACTGAGGAGCCTGACACTTGAAACGTCAGTTAATTTTTCACTGTGTTGTCTTCACATGCACAGTGGGCTGTGGACAACAATTTTTTGTTGTTGTTGTCGTGGTTGTTTTCAAATGTTAAAAACAGCCACGGTTGGTTGTATACATTTTTCAGACTAGCCAATCAGGATTAAGTACAGCCAGGATATGTGAAGTTTTGTCACCTCTTGTTGTCTACATTGGATGCAACACAGTTGTGCTTTTAAACATCAGGAATTCTTCTATTAAATCAACAGTGAAGCCTGAACTGGCTCCGTCTGCAACCTGAAGTTTCTCTTTACAGCTGTGCAGTTTACTACAATAGGCTTCTAGTAAAAACAGGATAAGCATAAACCTGCCATTTAACTGACTTGGCTTTGATATATTTTTTAGTGTGTGGAAATGATTCACCACATCCATCCAAGGCTATTTTTGAAAAATGCTTAGAATATTTAAAGCACATCAGTGATGAAAGATCCATGTTACAGCTTCTTTTAATGCAGACTATGAGCACCTGTAAAAGTAAAGATTTGTGGAAACTCATCAAGATGCCTGTTGCTGCCATGTTGCTATGTCAATGTTGCTGCTCACATGACAGGTTTATACTGAGGTGCAGCATGAAACAGCCTGTAAAAAAAAGTTTGATTTTGAAAAGCTTTGCACATTTTCATTTAAAGGATAGATCTACTGTACAGATTGGAAAGCCCCTTAAGGCAAATTTGTGATTTGTCAAATCGGGTTGTATAAATAAAACTGACTAATCACTCAAAGCAAATTCAAAATATAACGTTGTCGTCATGGAAGTTCTGCCTGTGCCAACACAATGGTATATTATAGAACTGACATGTTTGAAAAGATATATTTGTGGTTTTAAGAACCAAAAACTCTCAATGTAGTTATACATCTCCTCTCTCAGGCTTCTCTCTGGAGCCAATCAGAGTGATTGAATAAAAATATAGCAGATTTTAGGTAAACACTCAGAGAAACCCAATCCTGCAAGGTTGGATGGTGGGTCCAGGTGGGTGGGGCTTGGAGCATTGCTGAGAGCTGTGACATCACAAAGTTACAGAAGTCCTGATGGCTCACTTTAAGGCTCAGTTTCTGAATACAGGCTGTGTGCATTTCTCTGTGGACCGAGTGCTTTGATACTTTCACAGTATTAATATAGAAACTAGACCTGATCTATAATCAAAGAAGACATGGACATCTACCTTTAGACAATTAATCTACAATTAACAGATGTTTTTTAGCCAGAGACACTTCAATCAATCAACCAATCAAAAGTTATTTGGACAGCACCTTGCACAGAGTTTAGTTCTCTGCAGGTGACTAACAAGCTGATAAGAAAGCACAGATGTAAGCTGTTTAACAGTTTGAGACTAATCCACATGAGACATAAAAATAATGGAAATGTAATAATAAAACCAATAAAACAGATAAAAATAGATAAACACCTCAGGGAGTTTTACTGCTATTGATGTTTTCTCTCAGCCTCTCATTCATGCTGATGAACCACATGCATAAGATGTCAGTTTCAATACTGCCGTGACGCTTCTTTATTCTGCATGGGCAGTGAATCATGTAAACAGATTCAGTGGATTCCTTATATAGTATGAAATCAAGCAAGTTTTCTATTTAGGTTTAGAGCTTCTTTTCACAAAATGAGGAGAAAATATGAAACAGCAGGAATACAGATTTTGCAAGGGAGAAATGGAGCTCCCAAGCAACTTGCATATATAAGTTTGAAAATCAGTAATAGTTCCAGATCACTGCAACACAAATTTAAAATGAAACTACCTCAAGAGTGTATTTAAATACATTAAAAAGAAAAAGAAAGACCAAATAAGAAAAATATTTCCTGACGTGAAACTATTCACTGAATGTGTGATCCGAGTTACTTCACCACCCGCTGCAGCGATGCCTTCTTTCCTGCAGTTCTTTTTGGGACTTACCTTAATGCATATTCCAGCAGGCCGGTCACTTTCAGGGTCAGAGTACCAGTGGTCTCTGTTATTTTGGGATTTGCGTTGCCATGGAAACACCCCGCAGGCCCACTGAATTAGCCAAATAGTTTCAAAGCCCACACCGGCAATGATGTTCTCTTTGTGCGATCGATCGTTTACATTAACCTCCCGTTTGGGATCGAGTGAACCGAAGTCGTGATCGAGGCTTCTCCAGGATGTCCGCCATTTTTATTCAAAAGTTTGAGTAACTAAATGGTTAAATGGAAATCCATGTAGTCGCCCCTCCCCACCGCCCCCACCCCCTACCTCTTCCTCCCCTCCCTCTTCCTCCCCTCCATGCTCCTTGGATGTTTCATTTATGTTTCCTGAAGCACAACAGATGTGCTGTATCTCAATTTTCCTCATCGTCCTTCTCACTGTTCACCTCTCAGCTCTGATTTATGTCTCCTCTTTCCTTTCCTCTCCACTCACCTCCTCCTCTCTCATCATCCACTTTTCTCTTGTCATTGTCATTTCTCATTTATTTAAGTGTACAGGAACCTCTGTCCGTCTTCCTTGCTCTTCTGCAGTTGCCCCTGGCTGCCTTTATTGATCTTATCATTGACCTCTAAACACATATTATCTCCATACCTTCAAATTCTGTTGCTCCAGGTTTACACGTGAAGGTCAGAATTGAAATGTGCCCTCCTGCTGTGATAATATATAACTTATATATATATAAAATAATGGATTTTCAAACTTTATTTTAATTTTCTTCCAAACACTTTTTGGGGAAACACTGACAGACTTACACAGAAACATTTTTCCCTCCATGTCTTCCAGCAGTCCATCCTCCACCCTCCACAGTTCACTGTTATATGATATTTGTTGTTTTATATTTTTGTTGAAGCAGCGGGGTCGGCATTTTGTTCTTCTGCCGGCTGCGTGCTGCCAACATTTCTTTACTGCTCCAGGCTGTGTGCGTTGTTTTTTGTTTTGTTTTGGGGTTTTTTTTTTATTATTATTAAAACCCGCTCCACTGTGCTTACCCAGAATGCAACAGAAAGATTTAACCCCATGAGCAGCTATCACCAGTCACCTACAGGGGCCCGTGGGGGACAGTAGTTCTATTAATGCATAAATATTTGACAGTTCAATGCATAAATTGAGCACAGGATGGGATGCAAAGGTGGTTACATGTCTTTTTTTAGTTTCTCATTTTTAATTTCATGGATGCTCAACCTTCCAGGGCATTTTTAACCTGCACCCTTTTATAGAAATAAATGAATCAAACAAGAGTCTATTAGTTTCACATTAGCCTGAGTATTCAAATGAATGAAATGCTATGTTAGCAGAAGTTTGAATAACAACCAGTATAATAACCAGTAAACAAACACAATGACTGTGAGTACAAGGTGACCGTAACCTTTGTGAACAGAAGATAACTCCTTGCAGTAAATGTCTCAGGCTGACGTTAAAGTGAAAGAGTGTCTTTACTCTGCCACCACAGTGGCAGCATCCTCCGAAGGATGCGTCCCCTGAATTAGGACACAGCTAAAGACATCAGTAAAGGTTAATAAAGAACATATACAGTGTAACGTGCTCTCCTTTGGGACAGCTTTGGCCACTTGCCCTCTGAATCCAGACCTCACCAGTTTCACGAGGACTTCTTAGGATGTAGATTAAGATAATGCTTTCATCAAATCTACAGACTATAAAATAAAAAAACAGCACACACCTTGCTTCATTAAAGAATGATTCTAATTCCCGTGCATCTAAAGCATCTTTATGTGCAGTGAACAGAGATGTCTGCTGAATATAAGTTCTTTTGCTCTGTGTTTTCTCTTCAGATATTAGTTTCCTTCCTCGCCCTGCCATGGTGTGGTGTGAGCGTGGCATCCAGGTGCTGCTGACCACCATGGGGGCTTTTGCAGCCTTTGCCCTGATGACAGTGGCTATTGGCACAGACTACTGGCTCTACGCCCGGGCCTTCATCTGCAACAGCACGGCCAACTCATCCCAGGAGGACTCCAACAACAAGGACAAGAAAGACCCTGGGGCTCTGACCCACTCCGGCCTCTGGAGGATCTGCTGCCTGGAAGGTACAGCTGGTTGTGTGTGTGCATGAGTGTGTGTGTTTGAAGCTATGGAAACCTCTGGATGCTCTGGGGGTTGAATTTGTGTGTGTGTGTGTGTGTGTGTGTGTGTGTCTGTGTCTGTGTGTGTGTGTGTCTGTGTCTGTGTGTGTGTGTGTCTGTGTCTGTGTGTGTGTGTGTCTGTGTCTGTGTGTGTGTGTGTCTGTGTCTGTGTGTGTGTGTGTCTGTGTGTGTGTGTGTGTGATTTATCATGCGCTGGTCATTGGAGGGTCTTGTTGGGGTCAGGGTGCTCATCAGTGTAATCAGAACAGACATAAATAGGTGTTCTCTTACTCACAAACAGTCACTCACACAGACACACACACACACACAGACACAGACACACACACACAGAGTTGTGTTTCCATGACTTCTGGGGACATTACATTGACTTACATTCACCTTCTGGAGACTTCCTCTTACCTTAACCTTAACTAGTACTTGCCTAACCTTATCCTAAACTTCAAACACGTCTACACATTCAAATTTAATGATTTACATTATGGGGGCTCTCTTTTTGTCCCCATACAGAAGACAAGTCCCCATAATGTGTAAACAGATGTAGGTCCCCAGAACATGAGTAATACCTATACCACACACACACAAACACACAGTCACACTCACACAAACTACCAGTATGATATATTGCCCCACTTTTCTTTATTTATTTCCTGCTTTTCAGGTCTTGTCAGGTGCAATGAGTTGTCATTGTTGCTACAAATTGTTGCACTGACATAATTTGATGCTGGTTTACAGCCTGCATGCCATGTGACCATGACAACCATGAAAACAGTCCTTCCATCCATTACCTACTGCTTATCCTTATAGGGTCACGGAGAGAGGCAGTCCCAGCTGACAGTGGGTGAGGGCAGGGTACACCCTGGACAGGTCGCCAGTCTATCACAGGGCTGATTTATAGAGACAAACAGGCAATCACACTCTCATTCACCTATGGGCACGTTAGACTCGCCAGTTAACCTAAGTATATGTTTTTGGTGGGAGGAAGCCGGAGCAACCGGAGAGAACCCATGCAGGCACAGGGAGAACATGTAAACTCCACACAGAAAGGCCCCAGGCCTGGGATTCAAACCCAGAACCTTCTTGCTGTGAGGCAACGCTGCTAACCACCATACCAATGTGCCGCTCACCATGAAAACAATGCAGAACCTAACTTCACTGTCATCAGTCAAATTCCCTTTGTATAGAACTGAATTGTTTTCCCAACCATGCTGTGGTAGCAAATGTAATCACTGCCTGGATTATCTTCAGATTATGTGTTTGTTTGAATGAAGTGCTACATGCCACTCACCCCTCATTGTGGTTAGGTTATGGCAACAACGGCAATTGAGGTAATGTATGGGAAAGATGATTTTGGGTGGCTGTGCCTCAAGAGGTAGAACAGGTCTTCGACTACCTCGAAGGTCGGTGGTTCAATTCCTGGCTCCTCCTGTTTGCATGTCGATGTGTCCTTGGGCAAGATACTAAACCCCCAAGATAGAAAAAGCACAGTATGAATGTGTGAGTGAACAGGTGAATGTGGCTTGCCGTTTGGTGTGTTTTGAGAGATCGATAAGACTAGAAAGAGCTATATAAATTTACCATACATGATCGTGTTGTTTCTCAAGTCATTGTGGACTTTTTAATTAAACCAGAACCAGGATCTAAACCAGATCTTAAGCAAGGGCCGTGAGAGTGTGAACAGAAAATAAGATAAAATAATGCTGCAATATTGTACTGCAGGATCTGATATTTTAGTGGAAAACTAATGACATATGTCAGAGAACATGATATATTCAGTATCAACATTTTTATGATTTGCTAGATACGTTAATTACTAACATTTCTCCATTGTTTTCATAGAAAACTAAATCTGGTCAGCAATAGATTTCCTTCAAAACATAGCCTTTGCAAATAAGCCGTATATAAACATAATTAGTGGACACTGCTGCATATCTGAGCTCCCTGAGCTACACACCTCTTCACTGGCAGTGAGTGAACAAATGGATAGAATAGACAATGTTTGTGATAGATGAACATATCTTCCTGGCAAAATGCTGAACACTGCCTTTGCTTTCAGCTACAACCCCTCTCTGTTAAGCTACATGATGAGATGAGAGCAGGTTGATAGCAGCGACCTGGATGGAACAGGCTGTACCAGCAGACGCGGGGCTCCCTGCTGCTGCCCATTCAAGCTCAGATGCAGCAGGAGCAGGTTTCTGTCTGAAAGCACCTTCAATCACACTGTTCTGAAATTTCTTAACCACCATCAGATCTAAAACATTAGGCGATACACAATTTGTAGCACTGGCTATACCCATGATGCATTATGATATCATCATGACAAGCTGTAAACACGATAATGAGACATTATAAAAGCTAATGTGGCCCATGGTGTTTCCGTTTTTTAGAGCGTTGTGGTTTTGTTGCACGACTCAGATAAGAGGATTTCAAGATGTAGACATTGAAGCTTTGCCTCATTTCTCTCTTTTACTTTCATGCACAGACAAAACACAAATACTTACACATACCGCATACACAGACACCTACTATACTGCACCTTAAACATAATGCTCATCATAATGCCCCAGAGCTCAGATATGAGTGGTGACTCATTCAGTGACTGATGAAGTAGTTTTTCCTGTGTTGCTGCAGCTGCCAGACAGGCAGGACACACAAATACACATATAGTTCAATAGTTTTTGGAAGCTGTTTCATATGGAAGGACCTCTTTTTGTTTGGACAGTTTCAGCGGTAGTTTGATGTTGTATAATATATATAATATTTCTGTCTCGTTAGATGTAGCCAAACATTGACTTTAGTTGTTGCCTGGCAGCTGTTCTATAAAGGTGTTTGACAGACAATCTGCCGCTTCATTCTGATCTAATGCCCACTGGGTTCATTTGTGGATAACTATTCCCTCTCTAATCCAGTTCCTGATCCTTGTAGATTAATAATTCTGCTCCATTACCAGTTCATGAGGTTTATCATGGGATTACTTTTGTTTCTTAGTGTTTCTAAGTGTGTGCGCCGGGAGAGTCCTATTCACATTCTTTTAATGTCTTTTTTTCTGTCTTTCAAATGCTGTATTTTATTGCATGAGAGACATTCTATCTCTCTTTTCCTCTTGATGTTAATTTTGTCCATGTGATGCACAAATAGCTGATAAGATTTGCAACAAAACACAGTTAAAGCTGTGGGTGTCAGGGTGAACCAATGAAGAGCCAGCTTCCATGTTCAATCTCTTGCCTTATTGAAGACAACAAAAGCTGTGTTTCCACCACAGCAACTTTCCCCAGGAACCAGGAACCTTTAGAGGAACTATGCACATTTCCACCGCAGGAACCAGGGTCTAAATTTAGTTTAGGGGTCTGCAGCGCTGAACATTTCTGACTGGTCGAGTACCTGCTGCATTTTATTTCACCCGCGATGTTTAAAAGTCCGCAGTGAGCGAGCACCGAGCGAGCCAACACATTTTCCACACCGTGAAACAGGTCTGGGAGAAGGTAAAAAAAACTGAAACTGGACTTCAAAAAAATAAAGGACCACAACAACCGGAGTGGCTAGGGTTTCCACCCGTCATGTATAATATGGGATCATCCTGCATTTGAAAATAAAATGCTGTGTCCTGTATTGAATATATATGGGACGCAATTTGTTCCGTATTTTCATTCATGTTATTTCCTCAAAGTGCTGTGAATAATGTAATGTCAAGTAATAATTTTGCATAATCTTCCCGGGATTTAAGGCCGCAGACAACAATGGGCCACAGGAACCTTTTAGTTCCTGAAGAAAAGTACCTGGAACAGGTACTTTTTGGTCAAAACGTGGCTAAAGATAGAAAAGGCACCAAAATCTATTTCATACAGGAAGATGATATTGGTTTGTTTGTCCAATATCCAAAGACAACCTATGCTCACATACAAAGATCTCTAGTATTGGTAATGAGGGAGTATGTCACATGATGTTATGGCACTGAAAACCTGTTAGAGAGGAAACAGGTTGTGTGGGTCAAAGTGTCTGACTTTAACATGGGAGACCACTGTTTGTGGTCAACAGTCAATTAGACTGTTAACTGACTTTAGTGTTTTTGTTCTTTGTGATGCCCACAGTTCATGGCCATGTGCCAGCGCTACATCTGCGACTGTGTCTGTGAATGAGTGATAAAGTTAGTCCATTGGGCTTTTCCCAGTGGCCGTTGCCCTTTCAAAATAATTTAGCGTGAGCAGTTTGTATTACATCACCAGGGGGGCATTTACAGTAGATCCACAACAGTTTTCAACAACCGTGCTGAAATAGTGACCAGGGCTCAACTGCAGACTGTAACAGGCCTTTATTTGAGACAGGCATGTATTACAGACAGGCTTTTATTTCTAATTCCCTCTGTTGATTACATATGTGAGCCCAGTCCTGGGCTCATGAATAACAGCCACTAAAAACGAAAAAACTTTTTTGAGCAGCATTGATGCTCCTGGTACAATAGCCTGTTTACTTTTATGTTGACTTACGTTGTGCTGCTGTATTTATTAGTATAGTGGAGCTATCCATGGTACTGAAAGGCTGGAATTAATTGTGTTGTGTGTCGGATGTATGATGGCATTCTCCATGTGTCCACATGAGGAAAGGACAAGACACATGGTGGAGCTGGGTCTTTTTAACCTAAAATTACTGTTACCACCAGTCAGTATAGGTGTTGCCAAATCAACTGGGACTGAAATATTAAAGAATATGATTTAAAGGTTTATGAGAAACATCTGTCTGATTGGCTCCTGGTAACTGTGTCAAGCAATCATAGTGAATTCAAAAGTGGCTTGTGTGACTCTCATCCTACTCTTTTTTCATTTTCTATTGTTTCTGTCTGGTCATCTTCAATTTGTCTGTCTTCTCTGTCCATCTGTCACCCTGTTTACTTCTTCTGTCTCTTCCTCCTCTTCATCTTTACATTAATTTCTTTGTCTCAGCTTCTGTCAGTTTCCCCTCAGTTGTACTGTATATTCTCTTGTCTTTCTGGTTTTCTCATTTCTATTCCTTCCCTTCACCATTCCTGTCTCTTTTCTATCTTCTTCTCTTCCTTGTGATCTCTACTTTTTTTTCTGCCGTCCTCCTCACTCTCCCCTCTTCTTCCTCTCTGTCTTTCTTCAGGCCTGAAGCGAGGTGTGTGTTCCCAGATCAATCATTTCCCAGAGGATGCAGACTACGACCAAGATGCTGCAGAGTATTTACTGCGTGAGTGACACACACACACACACACACACACACACACACACAAACACACGTTTATAAATGAACAACAAATGCACACAGGCATGTATAGGAACATTAGATAACTGTACACTGGCATACACACACATTTACTGTGCACCACAACACATATACACACACACACACACACACACATCTCAGCAGAAAACACACATACACACACTACAGTTTCCATCACACACAGATACAGAAAGGACAGAAGGGGATGGTGGGCGGACATCAATGCACGGATGTCAGATTCAAGCAAAGCGTTCCTGGAGGTGCGTGTGTGTGTATGTCTGCATAGTGTGTTTATGTGTGTGTGTGTCAATGCCCAGGTGCATGGGGTTGGGAGTCTGGGGGTGTACAGAAAGCTTTTTCTTCTTTTTTTTTTTCACTGATGGATTGAACGAACAGCCTTCACTAATGGATTATTTTCAGCTCAGGACTGAGGTTTCACATTCTGCCTCCATTGTGATAGCAGATTCTGTTCGTGCAGCCCTGAACCTTTTGGTTTGCAAAGTATATGTTCTATCCATATATTATATAAAGGTATCTATTTCTGTGAAGGAGGCCCTGATGCTATCTGAAATTCTCTTGTCTGCTTTGCTGTGCAACACTGACTGAACCAGTACATCCCCAATGCTGCATGATCCTCATGATTTGTTTTAAAGGTCCCATATTTTACACCTGTGTTTTATTTGAAGTGTGGATCCATAAGAAGATATATTTGTGGTTTTATGATCCAAAAACCATCTCAATGTAGTTTTACATCTCCTCTCTCAGGCTTCTCTCTGAAGCCCTAGTAACAACAGGTCGGTGAGCCAATCAGAAGAGAGGAGGCTCTGAGCCTCTCTTCTGATTGGCTGACTGTTTTTTGAGTGATCAAATAAAAATATAGCCGATTTCAGGTAAAACACTCAGAGAAACTGGCTGAGACAGCTGCTTTGTTGTGACATCACAAAGTTACAAAAGTCCTGATGGCTGGTTTTAAGGCTCAGTTTCTGAATACAGGCTGTGTGCATTTCTCTGTGGACTGAGCGCTTTGATACTTTCACAGTATTAATATAGAACCTAGACCTGCTTTATAATCAAAAATACTTACACTTTATACAATTTGGGACCTTTAATAATATAAAATGTCCAGAATTTATAGTTATGGACAATTCATTGACAAACAATATGTTTCAGACTTTTCTGCCATAGTTGATGGGAAATTACTGAAAATGTTAAAAATTGAGATATCTTGGAATCTAATTGATTAAATTGATGATAACACTGTAGATTATTTTCTTCTTTGATTAGCAGATGAACTGATTTGTTGAAATGTCAAAAAATAATGAAATAAACAAAATTCCAAAACTCAAAGATTTTCAATTACACAGAAAAGCAGCAAATTCCTACATGACAGAAGCTGGAAGCAGCATATGTTTGTTATTTTTGCTTGCAAAATGGAATGACTAATTAATCATGAATATAGTTGCTCATTATTTTTAGGTCTAATGCCTATAATCATTTCAGCTATACTGCTTACAAATAAACAGGACTGAAAAATGCAACTTTCTCAATGGAGGAAGTAACATTTTACTTGACAAACTGAGGTTCCACAAAGATTTAGAAAATCACTGCAAACACCTACTTGAAGTCAGCTGGACATTCTTTCCTATCAACTACTTCAGATAATCAATAAATAGTGCTGAACTGCCCACGTCGTCCCACTTCCAGTTAACAACAAATTCAGGGAATTATCTGCAGCAGCTGTTTGACATGTCTGACACAAGCTTCTATGAATAAATGCTTATCACAGCATTATGTTTCCCTTCAGAGGCAAACAAAAGCTAACACAGCCTGAAGAGTCACCTTCAAAACCTGAGGGCTCTGCGATACTACGTGTTCTTGCCTGTGATGGAGCTTTTCAGCATTTTAAACTTCGAAAATGTCTCAGTGCTGTATGTTATCGCAGCTGCTTTTAAGCTTGAGGTGTCTGCAGAGGGAGGGGGGTTTAGATGATGTAATGCAGTCTCTCGCAGCCATATTGGAGAGGTCCTACTGTTGGGCAGTAGCAGCTGTGAAGTGATGACTGACAAGTTATTTGTGACAAAGAGCTGGCTTGTACTCCTGAGGCTTCCTATGTCAACATAAAGTTTAGTGCAACTCTGGAATTTAAAGCCAAAAGTTCTTTTTTTTTGTTCTTTTTCATTGAGAAGGAAGGTGGTTGTGACTGTTTTAGACATGCTGCATTACAACTGTATTGAGAACGTCCTCCTGTGAATGGAATGGATGGTAAATGGATTGGACTTACATCAGGCTTTTCTAGTCTTGTCCACAACTCAAAGCCCTTTACAATACATGCCACATTCACCCATCCACACACACACTCATACACTGATGGAACAGCCATCAGACGTAATGAAGTGTTCAGTATCTTGCCCACACATGGACACACATGGACCATGACTTTCTGATTAGTGGACGACCCACTCTACCTCCTGAGCCACCCACAGTCTTGTGAAAACACAACCCCAGAGGTCGTCTGTGCAAGCAGCTCATTGCGACCCATAGGCGACCTCTAGTGGCCGCAGTAATTTTGACGGAAGCAAACGAGGAAGTCAGGTGACGCAGTATAAAGAGCGACAACATCCCTGTTGCGAGGGTTGGGTCAACAAAACTCAGACCTTCGATACAGGAGACCGCTGTTCGTTTCCCGGGTTATTCATGACCTTTCTGCAACCTTAACCGTGTGTTTATTGTAACCATGACAACAAAAGGTTCCCTAACCTTAAGAAATAACTTATTTTTTCAAATGACATAATTTTTTTTGAATGGTCCAAATCCATGCAGCAGATAATGAGCTATTTTAGTCTTGAAAAGCAATAGATTCTACACTTCCCATAATTGATTAGATCCTGCTCACCTGATAAACCCCAGCATCTTCCAGTTCGTAGCTTTCTGGTGAACATGTCGTCTCCAAGCCCAGACTCTCTGATTTGACAAAAGTTCCTCCACAGCGACAAAAGACATCATGTACTAAAACCTCATGTAGAAAATCCATAGAAACAGACCAGCTGCTGCACCGGAGCCAAGTTATAGTGTCAGCTATAGCACATCTTGGTAACACTTTTTCTCCCAGTGTCACGAGTCTGTTAACTTTGCACCTTTAAATGGTGCTGAACCCCACTAATTGTACTACATTAGAAAAGCAGAGGATTTAGTCATACACACACACACACACACATACACACACACATAAAGTCCACACAGAAAGGTTGAGAAACAATGACATCGCAGCCAAAAGAATCACGTATCTGTGCTGATGTCGTCGTCTGCAGGTGTGGTGCGAGCCTCCAGCATCTTCCCCATCCTCAGCGCCATACTGCTCTTGCTGGGCGGAGTGTGTGTTGCTTCCAGCAGCTTCTACAAGAGCAAAAGGAACATTATACTAGGTGGAGGAATTCTCTTTGTAGCTGCAGGTAAGGGGAAATGTGGTGTTGGATTTTATTAAAACACAAACTCTAAATGTTCTTTTTTATGTTTTTAGCCCCGGTTTGAAATTGTGTCTGCTGGCGTTGCCTCTTTTAATGGACGGCTTTGTCCTTCCAATCACGTACTCCACTCTGAGCTTAAACTGTTATTTCACATGTAGGTGTTCCAGAGCTATCAGCCAAATACAGGCATAATAAGAGGCTGTGATGTTTGATATGCAGATGGATTTTCACGTTGTGCCTCCTCGCTGTATAATTGAAAGGAAACTGTTCCTGTATCCCTGCCTGCAAAACAGTTTAATGAAGCTGCAGGTTAATTTGTCTCAGAGGAGCACTTAGAAGTCTTGTATATTTCCTCAGGCCTCAGCAACATCATCGGAGTGATCGTGTACATCTCAGCAGCTCTGAGTGACATTTCCCCCAAGAAGGACGAGGATAAGAAGTGGCACTACTCTTACGGCTGGTCTTTCTACTTCGGCGGCCTGTCCTTCATCCTGGCCGAGATGGTCGGCGTCCTCGCCGTCAACATCTACATTGAGAAGAACAAGGAGCTGCGCTGCCGCTCTCGCACCGACCTATTCAAGAGCACCACGCATGCCATGCTGCGGCTGCCCAGCTACCGCTTCAGACGGCGCTCTCGCTCCAGCTCGCGCTCCACTGACCCGCCACGCTCACAGGAGACCTCGCCCATCGGTGCCTCCAAAACCTTCAGCCTGCCGCCCTCCGCCCCGCCGTTCTCTGTAGCCACTCTGCCCAACCCGCACCACACCAGCGGTGGTGGAAGCGGAGGAGGCGGTGACATCTCCATGTACACCCTGTCGAGGGACTCCAAGCTGGGCAGCCTGGGAGGCGGCGCCCCACCTCTCTACGGCACGGTGGACCGCGCCACACTCTACCAGCTCCACAACTACTTCCCAAAAGATTCCAGCGGAAGTGGCGGCGGAGGAGGTGGAGGGGTGATAAGCAGCGGCACGCTCCCATCTCACTCCAAGTCCAACTTGGCAGCAGCGGCAGCTGTCGCCCAGAACGCGGCACCGCTGAACACCTCCACATCAGCCGCCACACCAGCCCAGCCGGCCCCGATATCCACAGCCACCATGGAGAGGGACAGGGGCAACGTAGGAACCCTGGACCGACTGACAGCCAAAAGGGACAGGGATAGCAACTCAGATACACTTAACAGGAAAACTACGCCAGTTTAAAAGTACACCTCAGAGAGGAGGGAAAGAGGGCGCAGGGAGGGGGGGCGTTGAAATTAAAGAAGAGAGATGGTGTTCAATTTATACAGATGTTAGAGATATCTGAGTTGACAGAGAGGAGGCTGAAAATGTGTAGGTGACACGTCAGCGGTGATGTTTCTGTCCTTGAGCCTGAGGTATAGCTGCCATAACTACCTACAGTATCATAAACAGTCATAGAACATCTGACATTATGTCCAAGTTCATGACATCTGCCTTAAAATGGTCATGACATTTGTTAATTGTGCAGCAATGGTGCAATGGAGGCTTCAGGGAATCACACACGATCATACACAACTGGGAGCTGCCCAGTGAAACCAGTCTCCCAGTGCAGCATTTGGGGGTTAAGTGCCTTGCTGGGGAGGCAGTGGAGCGCTGTAGTTTTTTAGTTTCCTCATTTTGATTTTGTCAAACATTCAACAAAAAGAACAGGAAGTTTTTGATTTGGTGATTTGTAAGTTTGAATCTGGTCAAAAACTGATCATTTCTAAACATGTAGACTTTGAAGCATCCTTTCAAACCAGCTCTTCTAAACCATACAATACTTTATGACACTACAGCAACATAAAACTCCTGAAAGAAAAGTGGCCAGATGGTGTAAGCCGCACTTCTCCGTTACATCTCTGTTTTAAAAGGAACAGAACGACACAGACGGGGACATTCAGCCAAGTAACAAGCTGCTCAGTGACGAGTTGACTGCCAGCTCAAGGTCAACAGTAGCTACTTAACCTCCGGTCCCAAAACAGTGACCTCAGCCATACCTGACAATACTGACACACACACACACACATCACACACACAGCACACACCAGATGAGGCTGACACACTGTGAGCGTATTTATTTTTCATTGTGTGTCAAAGGTAATTACAGTGACAGATGGGCATTCTCCACAGTCCTAGAGAAAGGAACAGCCATAAACTTTAAGCTTCACCCTGAACGCCTCCGTCACACCACTGCCAGTTGTCACCGTTTGGTTCAACGCTGCAAAAAATGTCCATCTGAGCAAGTGGCTTCATCTGATGTTAAAGTCCCACATTCTTTCTCCAAAGGTGTGAAGTATTTGCTGAGTTGTGGCCATGTGGACATAGACTGTTACTCTTGTTTCAAGATGACACTTGTTTTTCTGTTGCCTTAACAATAGGAATTACATTAAAAAAAACATTCAGTACAGACTTGATTTAAGACGTTTATTGAGTGAAGGTATAGGACAATTCAGCAAAAACCCTGGATTATAGTCAATGATATTTTTTTATGTCCAAACCAGAGTGAAAATTGTCACTTTCTTGTTTCACAGGGGAAGTGGGAAGTTAGGGCCAGGCAACGTTAACACTTGGATAATGTAAGAGAAAGATCTAAACCATAATATTTCTCCTAAACCTAACCAAACTGGGACTGTTACAGAAGCTTTATTATTGTAACCATGGCAACAAAGGTCTACTACACCTGCCACCATAGACCATAGTCATACGGCGGCCATTTTTCTGTGACGTCATACTCAAGGTGGGAAGCTCAGAGGATAATGTCATACTGCTATGTTGCAGGTTGCAAGCCATACACGTAGAAAATCTGACAAATCTTCAGAACAGAACAAGAGCCTCTTCTTATTGCTAACTGAACTCATTACCTGTAGGGAGGCTCGTTTCAACACATGCTAGGGTATTTTTCAGACCTTTGCCATGACAGTCTTGGTACTGCTATCCTCAACTTTGACTGAAATCAAAACAAAACTGTTTGCAGTACGTCACTTACTTCCTGACTCATTGAATATTACCTCCCAACGTGAAACCTATCAGAAAACCTGACAGAAACCTACCATAGACTTCTAATAAAGATGGACATAGCCTCACGTTTCTGAAGAGAAATTTTGAAGCTGGGGGCTGCTCCACTGTCACCATCTTGACAATGTCTGACTCCGCCCCCAACTCCCAGCTAATCCAAAAATGGGCAAAGAGGCGGGGCTTGTATGGAGCCGAGACTTGTATTTGTGGCAAGTATACGCTCACCCACCTGTCCCTCAAAGTGGCATGCCCTCAATGATACATAACTTTAAGCCTTAAAAAAATTTAATTGGATAAGTTATATAAAAATTCACCCCCGTGCAGTTGTCATGAAGTAGGAAATTAGCTCTAGAGACCAAAACAGTTTTTTGTACCAGGCTGTAAACATGAGTATTTCTGCTGTAAAGTTGGACAGTTTAACATGGGAGTGGTCATTAGAGGAACTGCAGTGGTCCTTCTTATTGGCTTCATCTCTCAGCCCCTGAGTTTGCCGCTTGAGAATAACACAAACAAATATAAAACAATCAAAGATTAAGTTGGCAGTGATACACTTGCTCCGCTGTGTTATTGATGCAGGTTGATCATGAAACTATAAAACGTTAGTTAATGTTAGTTAATTTCATTCAACCACACTTATTTTCATTGTGGGTCATCTGACTACATGTACCTTAAGAGTTGGTGAAGACACTTGTAAAGATGAACATTTTTGCTCCCTACGTGATATTTACTTGCATAAATTTGATTTCAGGGTTTGTATGACTGTTTATGGTGATGATTGAATACCGACGGCTACAAGGCGGCATCCGCTGAGTGTTCCTGCAAAGGGCTGCAGCCACAGGTGACAGGGGGGGGGGGTCGATTCAGTTTACACTCAGGGGGTGGAGATTTAGTTAGAACATAGATTTAAAAGCTAAAAGTCAAGATCAATATGAAATATCAACCATTTTATCAAGCCAAGTACATCACTTACTCTTAGACAGAAACACAAAGTAAAGCACATTATGGATTATTAGATAAGTTATGAATTAGCTTTAAAGGATTTCTAACAAACCAATCAGAATTTGAGCGTGATATATTTTTTGAAACGTCAGATATTTCAGACGGGGGTTCCACAGTGGATGTACTGCGTAACATTTTGGACTGAACCTTCACACATTCTAATTCTGATAATTGGACTTATATATTGAACTGTGAATGCACTTCTGTGTTTGGAAATGAATTCAAGCCGACCCTGGTCGACGACATGTCGGAGGAGGAGAAGGAGGAAGAGGAGGAGGGAAGCAGAAAAGACCACAACAGCCAACTTCTGTTCGACTTCCCTCCGTCTCTCTTTTAGCTATAACTATATAGGCCTACTATTTCACAAACTAGAATAATAAATGTATTATTGAATATATTATCAAGTCCATTCACTTTAACAAAAGCACATAATGTCTGTAAATGGTAATGTTTGGGTTGTCTCTTCATTCTGAGTGATTGATTCTCATCTCTAGGTTACATGAGATTGTAACTCCTTGAGTATTAATATCATGTTGCTGGTGTTTCTATGATCGTTATGGTTATTGCAGGGTATTTATACATTTTGAAATCTTTTTCTTTTCTCTTTCTTTTTGTAATTCTTTTATATTCCTTTTTAATTTTGTTTTTCTCTTGCTTATGTACACTAAAAGTCAGTGGTGTCACGTGGAAAGCATGTGCACAAAAAGTGAGAGGGTTTAATAATGTGTAAATTCACCTCTTGAGATCGTCCATCGCCGTCTTCGTTGTTTTATGATGTTTATTTATCGGGGAGAGTTGACTGAGCGTGCATGCTCTTTTTCAGCAACGCCCTGTTTAACCTTCACGCACACGCACACGCACACACACACACATATGTACTGGCAGCAGCCCCGTAAAACCAGTGTGCCGCTGGTTTACTGAGCGACTTCCCTGGAACAGCCGGGGGCGTTAGGAGTAGAGGAGGTCATTCCACTTCCTCCATCCAGGTTGTTCCAGGCATTTCATACTAATGGACAACCTTCTGCTTCTTCATTGAATTTCACTGTGTACATTATTTTTACTATCTCTATTATGTAATCATTTTCCTATCTTTTCTGTTCTTCATTATTTCTATAATCTTCACTATTTTATGTGTAATTGCTCTATAATTTGTATCTTTTCCCAAATTTTTTCCCACCAGTTTTGGTGATATATCTCCATTGTCACTCTTCCATTATCATTTTGTCTTCATTTTCCTGAAGGCCATTTATTTTTATTTTCTTAACATTACCAACGTAGCCTAATAATCAGTGTTTTTTAATGTTCTGACTAGTGTATAACTGTAGGCGATAGAATTTATATTAATCTATTTATTTTCGTGGTGGTATGTATAGATATTCTCAATGTTATATTGTTTCCTACACCTGTATCTTTGGGCTATAAAGGCTTCACGCCTGCCTGTGAAACAAGGTCAGTAGCTTAAGTGGTGGGGAAAGAGAGCTAAATGTCGTCTGTGTTGTCAGAACAATAATAAGTACAAGAAAACCGCATCGGCCTCATGCTTCTGAAAATGTGAGACTTGTTTGAAACTCTCTGAATAAACACTGGCACACGGTGTCCTGAACTCGTTTTACCTGTTTTGCAAAGTGTTAGTGTGAAGAACTTGGTCAGAAGTAGACGTTCTGTTCCTTTCGTCTCAGTTCATATCCAGACGTTAAAGCCATTTTAAAGCCAGCCTGAGTCACCGGCTCCTTTTCCCAACACTTAGGCTACTGTCACACGTCAAACCTGAAACTCTTCAAATGGACAACTGGTATATTTCCTCTCAGCAGGCTGATACATGTAAAAGGACAATAAGGAGAATGGGAAGCAATGCAATATACTGATCCTCACTGGAAAAGACAAAAAATATAAGGTATATATACAAATATATATAAATATATAGATATATTCAATAAAGTTCTATATGAAAGTTGTTCGTGTCCTTGCTGTCGGTGCCGTAGTTGATTTAGCAACATGATCATTTCTGTACAGGTCTGCCACAATTGTTAAAGGGAAGGTTGAACTGACGCTACTGGGTCAGGGTTAGAGAAGGATCATGCTCATGATTTAAAAAAAGACCCAGATTGTTTGTCAAGAGTAGTGGAGGTATCTGTTGCACTCCCACTTCGTTGGGCAGCACGTAGCGGCGGCAGATAAAGCGTCTCAAA